CAGCGATGGGAAGCTCTACCCATCGCTGTTCAAGCCTTGGTCCAACATTATCACAAGGCAGAATGCCCTTACCCAGCGATGGGAAGCTTTACCCATCGATGGGAACCCAGCGATGGGAAGGCTAAACCATCGATGGGAAGGCATGACCGTTGGAAGTCATTTAAGGTTGATTCTTTCCTTGTTTGGAAGTCAACCTCCCACCCAGCGATGGGAATCTTCTACCCATCGATGGGTAGGTAACCGTTGGCTTCAAAACTGAAGGAAAATTGGCTTACCAGCGATGGGTAAGTTCCAAACATCGATGGGAAGCCAATATCCTGCAGATCCCAAATTTATTCAATCCCTTAAATCAAGCCAATCGCCCCTTTAATGCATTGGTCCGTTAGAGCCTATTTTGGCACTATAAAAAGGGGTGTTTGGGTCTGCTTTTCTCATCAATTCACTTCACAATATTCATATCATCATTGCACTAAAACAACATCATTTTTTCATAGCTTTCTAGAGCCAATTTGTGAAGTTTGAGTTGTTCTTGAGCGTATATAGTTTACTCAACATCTACTCTAAAAGAGAGCCTTGTTCTTGAGTGTCTTAGTGTTGTAAACACGTTTAGGGAAGCTTGTTTCCCTTGGTTGTACGAAGGAAAGGTATTTTTCCTTCGGGTTGAAGTCTTGGAGTGCGGTATCTCCGAGCAAGTGTTGTTGAGGCTCGTGGGACTCGAGTTCTCAGGTTGTAACGGTTTGTTAAGCACCCGTAAGCTTAACGAAAGTAGTGTAGCTCGAGAGAGTCTCTCGGGAGGCTGGATTAGCCACAAGTTGTGGTGAACCAGGGTAAATCTTGGTGTGCTCCCTTTACGCTTTCAACGCTAATTATCTTTCACGTTCTTAATTTTTTATTCTTGCGATTTCTACGATCAAACGCTATTCACCCCCCCTCTAGCATTGGTCACTTATTCTAACAATTGGTATCAGAGCCTAACTCGCATCTAAACTTAACCGTTTGAGAGTAAAGCGATCATGGGTTCTTCTTCTAGAAATCTTTATGGAGGAATTGGAGAAGGTCAATCAACATCTAGGCCACCGCTTTTTGATGGCACCCACTACACATATTGGAAAGAGCGGATGAGAATTTATATCCGCTACACCAACTTCCAGTTGTGGTTGGTCATCAAAATGGCAAAGAAACGCCAATGAAGAAGGTAAATGAAAAACTTGTCCCAAAGACCGAAGACGAATTTGATGCCGAAGACATCAAGAAGGTGGAGAACTACGCCAAGGCAATCAACATGCTGTACTGTGTGGTCAATCCTGATGATTATCGCAAGATCTCTTGCTGCACCACGGCAAAAGAAATGTGGGACAAGCTGGAAGTCACATATGAAGGTACGGACCAAGTTCGGGAATCCAAAATTGACTTCCTAACGCAGGAGTACGAGATGTTCAGGATGAAGGAGCACGAGAAGATTGATGATATGTTCGACCGTTTCTCCAAGATAGTCAACGATCTTCATGCATTAAATAAGACGTACACCGACAGGGATCTTGTGTGAAAGATCCTACGGAGCTTGACATCCGAATGGCGATCCAAGGCCGATGCCATCTATGAATCAATCGGCACATCAAATGTCACCATCGATGGCCTAAGAGGTAATCTAAAAACCTATGAATCGACTATTCTTAATCCGTCTTTGAATGACCAGAGGAAGGGGATAACACTAAAAGCCGTGAAAGAATCAACGATGGATGATTCAAGTGACGATGATGAAGTCAAGCTTGTCATGAAGAAGTTTTGCAAACTTCTAAGAAAGAAAGAAAAGGTTGAGGATGGCCCTGTGTGCTATGGATGTGGAGAAGCCGGGCACATCAAGAACAAATGCCCGAAAAGCGGAAGGAATGCTCGACACTTCAAAAGGCAAAGGGCGTATATCTCTTGGGGTGGAGACTCCAGCGACGAGTCAACCGACCAAGATGAGGATGAAGTTGCCAACCTCTGTCTCATGGCACACGAAGACCAAACCGACGATGTACAAGAGGTATGTACCATTTCTTCCGACTCTTACACTTTTGAAGAAATGCAAGAAGCACTTCACGAACTTTATGATGAATTTGTTAGCGCTTCTAAAATCAACAAATCGTTAAAGAAACGCCTTTCCACTCTTGAAAATGATTTTGAAAAGTTGGAAAAAGATAATGAGAAGTTGAAACAAGAAAATAAATTTTATGGCAAAAGAAGCGCCAACAAACCGGAAAGTTCCTCAAACGAATGTGAATCTTGTAAAGTTTTAAAGGAACAAGTCACTAAACTTGAGAGTACGGTTAAGAAATTTAATACTCCGCACAAAAATCTTAATTTACTCCTTGACACCATGCATTTTTCTAAAGAAGGAATAGGTTTTGATAAAAATAAATCTAAGGATAAAAACGTTGAGCAAACACCTAGACAACCTCCTAAGGCTCAACATGAGAAAAGTAAAAATCAGGATAATAGAAAATCTAGTCAACCTAAGGACACTAGACAACCTAGACAAAAACCTAGGAATGAAAATGTACATGTTAGACAACCTAGGAAAAATTATCAAAATGATTTTGTGCATAAAATTAATTTTTCAAATAGACAAAATAATGCTAGAACACCTAGAAGAGAGAGTTTTCAAAAACCAATATTTT